AAGTGTTTTTCAAGTGGGGCTAGGGCCCCTTGCCCAGACCAGCTCGCATTGAAACCGAGACGTGCTACACATAGCGCCACGCGTTGAAAGCAGCAGCAAGGGCAGGGAGCGGGAAGCAGGCAGCAGAGGGGAACGAGAAAGAGCAGAGAGCAACCCGGAGAGAGGCAGGAGAGCGAGCGAGAGAGGAGGCAGCAAAGCAGAAGGACGGAGACCACGGCAAGCAGCAAGCAGAGCGCAGCAGCAGGGAAGACGGGAGGCCAAGGAACTGAAGGCCAGGTGAAACCCAAGGGGTATTAGGAAGCGCGGAACCTCTGCCCCGCGGGAGAACCAGGCCAGATCCACTGTAAGTGAGCCCGTGCATCCAGGCAGCGAGGAAGGGGGCGGAGGAAGACAGAGAAAGGAGCACGAATAGATATCAGTAGGGTCGGGCACGGCTGGGCGCGCACACCTGTGATGCGGGTGGCCTTGAAACAAATACACTGGACACGAAAAAGAAAGAACACCAAGGGGGGCGAAGAGCGCCGGCCACCCCAAGAGCTACACGCCCGGCCCCGAAGTACGTGCACGAGGGGCGATAGAGAAAAGAGGAAGAGGGAGAGGGGGAGCAGAGCATACACGAAGACGCGCTCAGAACATGTTGTGGTGTGGTCTGGTAACCGAGCCGCTTTTCGTACACGCGGTGGCCGTCGTAAGCCTGGAACTGGTCGTCGTCGTGTTCGTGCCCCTCAGCCTCGCTGATGTCACGGACTCGGTGTGCGGCGCTGCTCGGCGTTGGTGCTGTCGTAGGCGCCGGCGTTGGTGCTGGCGCCGTGGCTGACGTCGCCGCTGGTGTAAGCGCTGGAATTGGTGCTGGCGTAGGCTCAGACGTTGATGCTGGCATTGACGCTGATTTCTGTGATGGCGTCGGCGCTGGTGAAAGCGCAAGCGTTGAGGCTGGCGCCAGTGCGCACCGGTTAGCTGGTCAGCTCACTGGTGCGCTGGCCTTGGTGCCGACGTGGACGTAAGCGTTGGTGCTGGCGTATACTGACGTCGGCGCTGGTGTGCTGGCGTTGGTCGCAGTGTAGCCGTAGGCGTCGGTGCTGTCGTAAGCGCTGGCGTTGGTGCAGGCGTAGGCGCAAACGTAGATGTCACGGACTCGGTGCGCGGCGCTGCTCGGCGTTGGTGCTGTCATTGGCGCCGGCGTTGGTGCTGTTGCAAGGGCTGACTTCGCCGCTGGTGTAGGCGCTGGCGTTGGTGCCGGCGTAGGCGCAGGCGTTGATGCTGGCATTGATGCTGACGTCTGTGATGGCGTCGGCGCTGGCGAAAGCGCAAGCGTTGAGGCTTGCGCCAGCGCGCACCGGTTAGCTGGTCAGCTCACCGGTGCGCTGGCCTTGGTGCCGACGTGGACGTAAGCGTTGGTGCTGGCGTATACTGACGTCGGCGTTGGTGTAGGCGCTGGCGTTGGTCGCAGTGTAGTCGTAGGCGTCTGTGTTGTTGCAGGCGCTGGTGTTGGTGCAGGCGTAGGCGCAAACGTTGACGTCGTCAAGTTGACGTCACGGACTCGGTGCGCGGCGCTGCTCGGCGTCGGTGCTGTCGTAGGCGCCGGCGCTGGTGCTGTTGCCAGGGCTGACGTCGCCGCTGGTGTAGGCGCTGGCGTTGGTGCCAGCGTAAGCGCAAACGTTGATGCTAGCATTGATGCTGACGTCTGTGATGGCGTCGGCGCTGACGGAGGCGCCAGCGTATATATTTATATGTATATACAAATATATACACATGAGTGCACATGACAATAATATGCGCGTCGCCAGCAACAACAATAGCATACTTGTAATCAGCCACAGCCGTCTCCCTCTAATTGGACCCCCTCTCTGTCACAAAATGTTTCACAAATCCCCATATCCTAAGACGGGGTTCTTGTTACGTTGTCTTTTCCCCTTCCTCACTCTCATATCACTCAGACACTTATACTCAGATCACCCACGCCCATCACGTGGTCCATCCCAGACCGTCTCTTCTTCACTGGGCCCATCACCTAACCATTCTTCCCCACGCAGACTCAGCCACATCACCTCCTCACCCAGACTCGCTCGGGCTCAAACTCACTCATACCCCGTCGCGTCACTTCCTAACTCAAACTCACTCAGACACAGAATCATTCAGTCATTCCTTCATTCACACACACACACACACACGCGCGCAGATCGTCAGGATCTCTCAGGCGAGGCGTTGGTTTCAGTACTCCCAAGAGGGGTGGGTGGGCGGGGGGGGGGGGGGCAGGGGCGGGGACACTCCAAAACTCGCGCCCACATTGTGGGGATGTCTCACGCAGTTTGCCTGTTCCTGTCCCCCCAGCATCCTTTGCTGTGAAACAGAATGCAATGATGCCTCAGGCGAGGCGCTGGCTTCAGCACTCCCAGGGGGATGTGGTGCGGCAGGGGTTGGGATACTCCGAAGCTCGCGCCCAAATTGTGGGCATGTCTCAGGCGGTTTGCCCGCTTCTGCCCCCAACATCCTCTGCTCTCGGAACAGATTGGGGATGTCTCGTGCGAGGCGTTAGTTTCAGCACTCCCATTGTAGGGGGGTGCGCCAGGAGTGGAGACACTCCAAAACTCAAGCCCAGATTGTGAGGATGTCGTAAGCGGTTTGCCCGTTTCTGCCCCCAAAATCCTTTGCTCTCGGAGCACACACACACACACACTATGGGGCTGTATCGAAGCGCTGGCTTCAGCACTCACAAGGGGGGGGGGACGAATGGCGCCAGGCGGGGGGGGACCCTCCGAAACTTACGCCCAATGAGTGGTGACATCTCAAACGGTTTGCCTGTTTCTGCCCCCCCCCCCACATCCTTTGCTGTCTGAGCAGGTTGTGGGGATGTCCCAAACAAAGGACCAGCTTCAGCTCTCTCCAGGCTGGAGCCAACAGGGTGGGGGACACCGCAAAACTCGCGCCCAGACCGCGGGGATGTCTCGGGCGGTTTGTTCGTTTCTGCATCCCTACCATCCTTTGATGTTGGGGAGATTGTGCAAAAAATCAGAAAGAAGCGCTGTTTTCGGCACTTCCACTGGTGAGCCGTCATGCGCATACCTCACGGGCCCGTTCACGTTCAGGTTGTGGTGGTGTCTCAGGCGGTTTGCTTCTTTCGGCCTCATGAACTTTCTGTTGGTGATCCAATGCGCACCGTGATATAGCAGGTGTGGCATTTGGGCACCCCAAGGGGGGCCGCCAAGGGTCAGGGCACTCCAAGATTCGCGCCGATATTGTGAGGATGTCTCAGACGGTTTACCTGGTTCGCCCCCCCAGGCTATTTCCTTTTGGTGGTCCAAACTGCCTGCGATTTTGCAGGTGTGGCATTTGGGCAACCCACCGGGGAGCCGCCAGGGGTGGGGGCACGTTATTGTTCGCGCACTGGTTGTGAGGATGTCTCTAGCTGCTTTACTCTTTGGTGGCCTGGGTTCGTATGTGTTCTGGGCAGGTTGTGAGGGTGTCTCGAGCGAGACGCTGCTTTCATAGCAAAGCGTGGGGGTGTGCGAAATGCTGGCATGAGGAGGAGGAAGAAGAAGCGGAGGAGGAAGAGGAAGACGGAAGAAGCGGGGGGGGGTGCTGACGGAACGTGAGGTGAGACGGGAGAGGAGGATGTGCGATCAGGCAGATTGAATGGATGCCTCGAGCGAGGCGCTTGCTGCAGCACCCCAAGGGGGAGCCGCCAGAGCGGGCGTTACTTAGGCGCTTCCGCCTCACCTCCCTCCTCCCCCATCCTTTTCCTCCTTCAGACACGCACTCAGACACGCATTCACCCTCAACCACAGTCAGGCCCACTCATACCTGCATTCTTTCACATTCAGATTCACACTCGGGCTCAATCATACTCAGACTCAATCACACTCGGACTCGCAATCAGACTCATTCCCGCTCAGGCTCATCATGCCGACATGCGCTCAAACTCGGACCCCGATCACGCTCAGACTCACACATACTCACCCCTCATCATGAGGAAGAAAGAGGTCCCTCCTTCCGCTGGTCATCATTCTCCTCCTCCTCCTCCTCCTCTTGCTCCTCCTCCTCCTCCTGCCCTCCTCCGGAGGACGAGCAGGGACAGCTGCCCCTCATCATCATCCCGCCGTGCCTCGTCTTCCCCTGCATGCCCGTGCGCCTCTTCGCTCCTTTCTCCTCCCAGGGAAGAGTGTGGGAGTGATGCGGGTCAGGTTCGTGTCGTGACGACGTGGCCGCTGGCTTTTTATGACGCAGGTCGCTGCTCCCGACTGCACAGGTCACTCGATGTCGGCCGACCCCAGCCGACTGGCGGCGTTCAGCCCTGAACGCCTGCCATGAGGCCGCCGCCGCGTCGACAGGGCACGAGCCTACCGTACCTCTGGCCAGCAGGGCGGAGCGGAAGGGGGGGGGGGGGGGGAAGGCCCCTCCCCTCAAGCCTCCTGCCGCTGCCCCTGCCCCCCAAACCCTGAGACACAGAGATTGAGAAGGAAGGAGAAGAGAGGGGGGGGGGGGGGCGGCGGCCCCCCGCAGTCCAACTGCTCGTCCTGCTACTGCCCATCCTCCTTGAAGGATCGGGGGATGACCGTCATCCTCACACTACTCTTGCGCCTCATTCCCCCCCCCATTCTCAGGAGGAGGAGGAGGAGGAGGAGGAGGAGGAGGAGCAGGAGGGAAGGAGACCATGCGGGAGACCCTACGAGAGACCATATGGGAGACCATACCATACAGCAGACCGCAAGGGAGACCATATGGAAGACCATCTGGGCGACCATGCGGAAGACCATACGGGAGACCGTTCTGGGCAATCTGCCTTGGAGAAACAGACAGCAAAAGGGGGGACGTAATCACGGCCGGCTTCCAAACAATCCGAATATCCCAAGTAGCCAGACATCCGCGCACGCAGCGTTGCCCTCATGCGAAGGATAACCTCGCACTGATGCAAGCATGTGCGTACTCAGCCGAGGTGAAAAACCGTATCACCTCCTAGCCATCCCGCAGCAGAGTCACTCACGAGAATCGGCAGTCGCAGCCTTCCTCCTCTTGGCCAGCTCACCCTCGAGCTCGACGACGCGGCCCCTCGCAGCCTCAGACTCGCCCCGGAACTTGGACACGTGCTCCTGTCACAAGCGGGGCGGCATGGCAAGGGAGCACGGCACAACACAGGCCTGTGAATACTAAGGCTTCCCTGCCATGAAGCATATATCAGAATCGAGGTAAGCTTTCTACTTCCAATCACCCTTCAAACGCTCGAGATCCAAATTATCCTCGACACTTTCATTTACGGCATCCCCCATTTCGCTCCTGCCCCCCTCCTCCCCTCCCCGTCTCGATTGCCATTGTTTACTGTTCCCCCTCCACTGATGCATGAGACACGCAGAGCATAGAGCAAAGCTGGTCCTCCAATTCAGCAGCCTTGGCCCTTGCCTCCTCGGCATCTCCCGAAAGCCGAGATTGTGCCGATTCCATCTTCGCAACCTCGGCCTCGAACGCCTTTGCAGCGGAGCTGCAAGACTGAGCAGAAGAGAAAGCACTAGGCTTGGGAGGGATCCAACACGACATGGAGGACATCCACACAATTCATTTTAGTTGGCAGACGTCGTGATTGTAGGTGCAGCGTCGGCGCGATTGGCATGCTACGGGCGAGAGAGAGAGAGAGAAGAAGCGAACACAAGACAAGTAGAGAGCGCATGACAGAGAGTGAGAAAGAGTGAGAGAGAGAGAGACAGAACGAGAACACTAATGTCATCGAGAGAACGTGAGCATAGGGAGGGAGGGAATACGAAGCAATCACCAACACATCTATTTAGCAACAGTGAGAGCTCCTCAAACAGTCAACTCGAACCGCACGCTGTAGTCTGCACTAAAACAATATGCGACATCGCACTGCTGCAATCATGCGCGTACCCACATGACAGACCGTAGCAAACCTTGGCCACCCCGCAATACATACAGTCAATCCGTATGATAAAAGCGCATGGTCAGGATGCAAGGGCCTTGGAGGGCCATATCAACGTTATTCGACCGAGATTGGCCAGCGAAAGTCGCTAAGGATGGGCCGAAGGGGCAGGGATGCAAGGGCAGCCTTCGAAAACTGCTCATCCTTACTATGCGGGTTGACTGTGGATGATGACAAAGCCAAGATTAGGACAAAAGCTGGTGAGGATAAATCGAGGATCTCTGAGATTTGGCGGTTCTGGAGGATGTCTCGAGCGCCGCGGCCTTCTCAAAGCGTTCTGGAACGCTCTGAGGGCGTTCTGGAACGGCTCTGGTACAGATTTATCCTCGTCTTAGCCCCGCCCGATAGATGCGACTCACAGAGCTCAGCACTCGCGTCCTTCCGACTCTTGGCCAATTCGTCCTCGAGCTCGGCGACGCGCCCCCTGTCAGTGCTGGACTCTTCCCCGAACTTCGCCACCTGCTCCTGGCAGAAAAATGGACGACACTAAAAGCAAGGGCGCCTCGCGCTTCGCGATGCGCGAATAGCTTCGCACTCTCGCGCCGCTCCCCGTGGAAGAAGTGGAGGACGAGGAGGAATCGGAGGCGAATCGCTAACAAAAATCGCGCCGTCGAGGGCGCCCTTGTTCAAGGGAAGCCAACACAACTTGGGTCTGCCAGAGCTCAGGCAACTCGACCCTCAAGCCTGTATCCTCTCCGCCCTCGTCTTATCTGAGACCACTTGCTTCCACATGCTCCAAGACAGGCGCCCCTCGTCATCCTCGTGCTTTGTACGGTTCACCCGTATAATACGGATGCGCGGCAAGGATGCAAGGGCCTTGGAGGGCCATATCAACGTTATTCGAACGAGATTGGCAAGCGAAAGTCGCTAAGGATGGGCCGAAGGGGCAGGGACGCAAGGGTAGCTTTGGAAAACTGCTCATCCTTACTATGCGGGTTGACTGTACATTAAGACGAAGCCAGGACCAGGATAACTTCGGGTGAGGATGAATCGAGGATGTCTGAGATCTGGCGGTTCTGGGGGATATCTAGGGCGCTGCGGCCTTCTCAGAGCGTTCCGGAACGCTCTGAGGGCGTTCTGGCACTTTCTGAGGGCGTTGTGGACAGTCCAGGCGTTCTTAGAAAGTTGCTCATCCTTCGGCTTCGCCTCCTCCGCCCTCGCGTCCCATCCTCGCCCGCACTGTCCGCAAGCTGGTGGTGCCCCCTTGCGCGTGCGCGACGGACGCAGCCACGAACTCACGGCCTCGACCGCCCTCGCAAGCGCCACTGCAACGCTGGCGTGGATGGGGAGACGAGTCCTCGCATCCTCGCCCTCATCGTCCTCCACCTCCTCCTCGTCGTCGTCCACCTCCTCGTCCTCCTCCTCTCCTCCTCTTCGTCATCCTCTTCTCGTCGTCCTCCATCTCCTCGTCCTCCTCCTCGTCCTCGTCCCTCACCTCCTCCTCCTCCTCTTCCTCCTCCTCCTCCTCCTCCTCCTCCTCCTCCTCCTCGTCCTACTCGTCCTCCTCCTCGTCGTCCTCCTCGTCCTTCTGGCCCCCGCCAATTGGGAGGCGTATGACGCGACGAGGAAAGCGGCACCGCGTATTGACAGGCACACGCGCACAGAGCCGACGGAATCCTGGGCGACGGCGCGCCCGCCCCGACGGGAGCGGCTCGCCGCGAGGGAAAGACGAAGAGGAGAGGGATCAGGAGGAGGAGGAGAAGGAGGATTGGACGCTCCTCAAGGAGGGAGACAGGGAGAGTTAGAGATCCTGGCCACGGAAAAAAACCCTGCGCAAGCACCGTCGGAGAGGAACTTGTTGTCACCATGGCTGGGGGGCGCCATCTCAGCCAGGGGCCCGCGGCAGGTGCTTGCCCAGGTAAAAACCCGTTAGACCAGATCTTCCTCGTCGAGCGGGTCGGGGTCGCGCCGCTGAGCCACTCGGCCGAGCTGCCGAGCCCGCTCTTCGTTCAAACCAAAACATTGGCAGACAGCCTGGAGGCAGAGGACGGACTGGCCCGCAAACCTGGGAGCCCTCCAAAAACATTCCGTCGTGATTTCTGTCATGACTAAAGGAGGTCTGGGCCCGGCCAGGAGGAGGGCCCGGAGGGTCTGCCGGAGACGGGAGGAGCAGGGGGCCGCCCCCCCCCCCCCCCCCCAATGGGAGCCGACGCCGACGGGGCTCTGGGTCCTCCGCCTTCCACACCCGCGTGCTCGTCCTCGTCCTCTGTCCTTCGACGCCTCGTCTCCTGCTCTGCACTCGTGCATTCGCCCCTGGCTGTCCTCCCCTCCCGCCCCCTTGCCTCCTCTCCCCACCCTCCCTCCACAACCTCTCTGTACATGACACGCGTCGGCGGACAGGGAACAAATCAGCGCAGTGGGAAGATGGGTGTGAGGAGTGAAAGGTAATTATGGCGCGGGCCCACCTGGCTTGCGATGGATGCTACCACCTTCTCTCCGCTGAGGGTGGTCGCGGAAGAACCCGCGCCCCTCCGGGCACGGCTTTCCGTACCACACAAGATGTCAATCATTTGTCCTTCCTGTGGTTGTTTCAATCGGAACGTTTTCGGCGCTTCGAATCGATGTTGTCGCTGCAGCGTTGGCCGCATGCTAGGATCGGCATTTTGCTCCCACCGTTGAGAAAAGCGCTCTCGCCCGAGCGCAGGCCACTTGTCTGTATCCGAGTCACTGCTCATCGTTGTCGCTCCCATTCTTTCCCCTCCTCTGCCTCCCCCTGGTCCTTCTGTTCCTCCCGCTCCTTCTGCTCCAGCTCTTGCTGCTGCTGTTCGTCCTCTTCCTCCTCTTTCATCATCCACCTCCTTCTCCTCCTTTTGCTCATCCACCACCTCCTCCTCCACATCCAATGTACGCTGCTCCAAAGTCCGAATGCGCAACACACGAAGGGTTCATCGTTGGAACTCCAGGTCCGCTGAGACATGCGTCGGCGGACAGAGAAAGGGGGGAGGCCCCGAGTAAAAGTACCGCTTGAGCGGGGTGGGGCACGTCGGGGGCGGCGCTGCGCTGCGATCGCCACTGTATACGCGCGAGCACCAGCATGGAGGGGAAGGTCCAACCCCCTCCCACTACGTTCGATGGTTTCCGTTCCAGGGGGGGGTGGGGGGGGGGGAGGCGACGGTTACGCGCCAAATAATACAGACAAGTCAATCCCGGGGTAGGATGCCAGATTATGGCGCGAACGAACCTACGGTCGGCAACTTCTTCTTAGCGTGTCGCGGCGGCGGCCCCAGCGACACACTATGTCCTGCAAGGGGATAGCGTGTTGCTCCGCTCCGCGGGGCGGGAGGCTGGGGAATGCTCGGGGCGTTGACGCTAGAGGTCCAGGAAGTGGATAGCGTATCGCTCCGAAGCGTGGTGGGCCAGAACCCGCGTTGCGACACGCTAAGCCACGGTTCCCGACCGTAGCTTGCCTTTCACCAGGACGAGCTTTATCCTGAGTCGTGTTCTGACAGTCCTGGGGCCCGCGGAGGGCCCTAGGAGCCCGAAAGTGGCGGAAAGCCTTCATGGCGAGCCGTCCCTCAATGGCGGGCCTGTTCCTTCGTGGCGAGCCTCCTCTTCCAAGGCGAACCTGCAGGACCCCCTTCCTCTGGTTGAGGGGCAATGATAGGGGAGGGCTGGCATAAGAGGGGAAACATTGACCTGGAATCGGCAATACGTTGCCAACAGGTTGGCGAAGGGCCCCCGATCGCAAACCCCGACGTTCCTGGGCTGGGTGGGGCTATCGGGCCCCCATCGGCGATGAGTGGACGCTTGGGAATCGATGCATCCCCCCCTATGCCTGTCCCCCCCGCCCTAGCGTTACCTCTCCATTTGGACGCCTGGGTTACTCAGGATAACTGCGGTCCAGGGTAACTCTAGTTTGGGCCCCCGAGGCGCGACTCTGTAGCTACCCCTGACTACCCCCAACCCAGATGATTCGCGAATGTTGGACGCCCGAGATATCCGGGATAATTGCGGTCCGGGGTAACTCTGGATTGGGCCCCCGGGGCGCGAATTTGTAGCTATCCCTGACCACCCCCAGTCCGAATGCTTCGGAGATCTGATCCACGGCGACCCGGCGTTCAGTCGCGGCGACCCGGCATTCAGTCGGGCTGATGGACTCCGGAACGTTAGATGAAGGACAAAAGCCCCCTCTCTGGCACCAGAGGAGAAACTGGGCGCACGAGGAAGACCAGGAGAGCAGCCACGGAATGACCTAAGGAACAGCGACCCCCTTCCGAACCCAAAGAGGTCCCTGGCCCAAAGGGCGCATGCAATGCGCGTCCGCCCCGCGGCTCCGCCTTGAGCGAAGGGTAATCGCCTCCCCTCTGGGGGGGACAGGCTTGAACCCAAAAGGGAACCGGAGGAGGTGAGGTCCCCCCCCGATCACTCAGAGCGGTCACCATCTGAGCGTCTTGACAAAACGCGAGAATGATGATTCGAAGCTCTCGTCGTAGTCGTCGTCGTCAGTCGTCGTCGTCGTCGTCGTCCTCCTCGGAGTCCTCCGTCGTCGTAATCGTCGTCCTCGTCATCGTCGTCCGTGGTCGTCGTCGTCGTCGTCGTCCATCGTGGTCGTCGTCCGTCGTCGGCCGTCGTCGTCGTCGTCGTCGAGGTCGACGTCGTCCGTCGTCGTCGTCATCGTCGTCGCAGTCGTCGTCCTCCGTCGTCGTCGCCGACGTCGTCGTCCGTCGTCGTCGTCGTCGTCGTCCGTCGTCGTCGTCGTCCGTCGTCGTCGTCGTCGTCGTCGTCGTCCGTCGTCGTAGTCCACGGTCGTGGTTGTCGTCCGTCGTCGTCGTCGTCGTCGTCGTCGTCGTCGTCGTCGTCGTCGTCGTCGTCGTCCGTCGTCGTCGTCGTCGTCGTCGTAGGTCGTCGTCGTCGTCGTCGTCCATCCTCGACGTCGCCTTCGTCGTCAATCGTCCGTCGTCGCCGTCATCGTCGTGGTCATCCGTCGTCGTCGTCGTCGTCGTCGTCCGTCGACCGTCGTCCGTCGTAGTCTTCGTCGTCGTCGTCCTCATATCTCAGCGTCTTGAGCCCCTCTGGGGGGGACGTGGCTTGAGCCCAAAAGGGATACGGAGGAGGTGAGGTCCCCCCCCCGATCACCGAGAGCGGTAACTATCGCAGCGTTTTGACACGCCGCAGCCCTGATGATTGGGAGCTCTCGTCGTAGTCGTCGTCGTCCGTCGTCGTCGTCGCCGTCGTCCGTCGCCGTCGTCGTCGTCGTCGTCGTCGTCGTCGTCGTCGTCGTCGTCGTCGTCGTCGTCCGTGATCGTTATCGTCGTCGTCGTCCGTCGCCGCCGTCGTCGTCGTCCGTCGTCGTCGTCCGTCGTCGTCGTCGTCGTCATCGTTAACGTCGTCGTCCGTTGTCGTTGTTGTCATCGTTGCTGTTGTTGTTTTCCGTTGTTGTCGTCGTCGTCATCGCCGTCGTTGTCATCGTCGTCGTCGTCGTCCGTCGTCGTCGGCCACGGTCGTGGTCGTCGTCGTCATCGTCC